GTATGAATGAATGAAAGAATGAATGTTTGTAGGTTTATATGTATGTATGTACGTATATGTGTGTGTGCACCTGTGTGTGTGTGCACACATACATGCACACATACATGCAAATGATCATGGCGTGTATCGTGTTAACCTTTCCAAATGAATGCACCGACACTCCACCCCTGGTTTTAATTGCTGCTGTAAATTAACAATACTTTGAAAATGTATGTGATTGTTTGTTTGCGTGCGTGTGTGTATTTGTTTGTTTGTTTGTCAGCTTGTATGTTTGTTTGTATTGTATGTTCGTTATTGTGAACAAATGAAAAATTCAAAGACCAAACCCACAATTAATAAATGTCTCCTTCTTTATGAAAACAACATACATGATAGCGATTCTAGGCGATGTATTTTAAAACTTACGGGCGCTAAGAACAATTTTTTTTTCAAAAATGGCGGCAACTCTAAAAACCGGAATAAGAAAAAAAATCTCAAAATTAAAAAAGATTTTCTTCAAAAAGATATAATTTTTCATAAAATCTAGACTGTCGTCAGAGGCTCTAAAATGATAAAAAATGATAACAAATTGGCACTAGATAGAGGAGTTGCTATTATTAAAAATTTACGTAGATATGTTTAGGATGACTATCTGATGTTTTAATCTGATGATGGTGATGATGACGACGACGACGATGGTGATGATGGTGATGATAATAGCGAAGAAGAAGAAGAAGAAAAAGAAGAGGAAGAAGAAGAAGAAGGAGAAGAAAGAAAGAAAAAGAAGTTGATTGAGATATTATTTTTATCATCAACGTCATCATCACCATCATCATCACCACCACCACCACCATCATCATCATCAGCGCCATCATCGTCATCCAAGTAGTCATTTGTCAGGATAACTAAAAAAAAGAATTCGAATTACGATAGTCGTTTTACATAAAAGAACGAACGAACGAACGAACGAACGAACGAATGAATAAATGAATGAATGAATGAATGAATGAATGAATGAATGAATGAATGAATGAATGAACGCATGAATTAATGAATGAACAAACAGATAGATGGATGTATGAATGAACGAACAAACGAGCGAATGAAAAATGAATGGAAGATACGAGATATAAGTTTGTATAATGACAATTGTTTGATAAATTAAGTTACCAGAGGATAAATGTTTGAATAATAATATGAATAAGAATTGAAATAAAAATAATATAAAATAATGATAACATCAAAAATAACATTAATAACCATAATTATAGACATTGAACGATTGAGCAAACACAAAGACACAAAAAAAACAAGTGAACGACCGCATGTATGAATGAATGAATGAAGATACAAATGAAAGAACAACAAAACGATTTAATGAAAGAATAAATAACAATAAATAAAAAAAGGAACGAACGAACGAACGAACGAACGGACGAACGAACGAACGAACGAAAGAACGAAAAAACGAACGAACGAACGAACGACTGAATAAAACGAAAAAATAGGTAAATAAATGTTTGGATCTATTTAAAAGTAGCATCGTACAAGTATGAAATCAATTTCTCCAGCCCTTTGTATGGTTGGCTGCTTTCAATTTATCAGGCAAACATTGTCTGCCTAACAAATTTACTGACTGAATTTAAGCTTCAACTTTATTTTATTTTCATTTATTAATATTTTTTATTTTAAATTACGATTTTTTGACGATAGTAATAGTAGCAGTAGTAGCAGTAATTGTTGCAATAATACAAATAATATTAGTAATATTAGAATAGTAAAAGTAGTAGTAATAGTAGTTGCTGAAGTAGTAGCAGTAGTAGTAGAAGCGGCAGCAGAAGTAGTAGCAGTAGTTATTTAGAAGTTCGTATTTAAGTATGAACCTATGAACCTATGTAAATTTTTATGCATGTATGTATGTATGTACGCATGTATACATGTATGTATGTATTTTATGCATGCATATATGTTTGTTTGTATGTTGTTTGTATATATGTATGAATGTTGGTTTGATGTTGTTTGTATGTTTGTTTTTATATTTGTATATATGTCGATTTTTTTTATTACTGTTACAGTCAGGCAGACATACCAATTGGTTGTTTTGAGAAACAATTAATTAAGCGAGGATTGAAATGCTTATTTGTGTGTTTGTTATTATTTTTATTGTTGTTGTTGTCGGTGCTGTTGTTGTTGGTGCTGCTGTTGTTGTTGGTGCTGCTGTTGTTGTTGGTGCTGTTGTTGTTGTTGCTGTTGTTGTTGTTGTTTCGGTTGTAACAGTAAATGATGTCATTGATGATGATGATGATGTCACTAATGATGTTGATGTTGTTGTTGTGGTGATGATAGCATTGATGTATTGGTGGTGATGATAGTGATGTTGTTGTTGTTGTGATGATAATGATAATGATGTTGTTTTTATTGTTGTTTTTGTTGTTGTCTTTGTTGTTGTTGTGGTAATGATAAAAATGATGCTGTTGATTCTTTCCTTATTGTGTATAGTTATTTTTTTATGTTTTGAGAGTCTTTCTCGGTTAAGTGATTCACTTATCAGGTATAATGAATTGTTTGATAGTGTTTTAATGGTGTTGCTATCAGCGGTTATGTATACGAAAACAATCAATTGGGAACAACAACAACAACAAGAAAAACAACAACAACATCATCAACAACATCATCAACAACAACATTAACAACATCAACGACAACATTAACAACATCAACAACAACATCAACATCATCATCAACAACAACATCATAAACAACAACATCAATTAAACTCAGGTGCGCCTTATCTTCTGATGATAATATACAAGAAGCATGATTGAACCATTTAACTTCAATGAATGAATGAATGAACGAATGGATGAATGGGGAAATGAATGAATGAATGAATAAATGAATGAATGAATGAATGAACGAACTAATGAATGAACGAATGAATAAACAAATGAATGAACAAATGAATGAATAAACTAATTATTGGATTAAAATATGAATAAATAAATGGATGAACGAACGAACGAACAAAAAAAGTAAAAGAATGAAGAAATGAGTGAATGAAACAAAAAATGAATAAAGGCAAAAATTTAAAAAGTTGAAAAATTAATGAAATCAGAAATAAAAATAGAACAGAGAATAACGCAGGAATAAACGTCTGCCTGCACGCATAATTGATTGAACGAACGTACGAAAGAAAGGAAGAATGAATGAATGAATGAATGAATGAATGAATAAATGGATGAATGAATGAATTAATGAATAAATGATTAATATAAAAATGAATGAAAGAACAAACGAACTCAAAAAAATACTGAAAAACGGAAAAAGTAGGAGAGAAAAATGAACTGATGGAATGAACTAATTAACAAATGAATGAACGAATGAATGAATGAATGAATGAAGGAATGAATGATAATTAACAACAGTTATTAATAACAACAACAACAACAACATTATCAACAACAACAAAATCACCAACAACAACACCATCATCATCAACAACAACAACAACATCATTATCATAAACAATAACAACATTACCAAAAGTGTTTGCGCGGTAAACAAAATTATTTTTTTAAATCGCTTGTAATAAAAGAGATGATGACGACAACCTCGACAAACATTATCAACACCATAACTATCATAATCATCTTCGTCATCATCATCATCATCATCGTCGTCATCATCATCGTCATCGCCCTCAAGAACAGCATCGTCATCATTATCAAGAGCATACACAGGCGAATATGTTTGTCCATCAATTTATTGCGAACTTTTAGTGACCATTTTATGCCCATGGAGTGTTTGTATGTATGTTAAAACATACAAATATGTTTTTATGTATGTTCGTATGTATGTATGTTAAAACCAAAACATGATGAGTGACACTGAACCGTCAAACATCAAGTAACAAATGGATCAACACTTTGATTTGTCGTTAATTGCACATGTCGGCATTCAGTTGGATATTTTCAAGCACACAGACACGCAAGAACCGCTGCAACAAGCACGAAATGTGGTTAGTTGCAAAAAACAGTTCCCTGCTGTCGCCTGATCTGACGCTGATCATTTTACATATTGCCTTAAGAAATTTAAGGGTGTTGGGGTCCATCGGGCCTAGAACCTCGATACATATTGGCAAGAATTCCATGTCTGTATGTATGTATGTATGTATTTTTGTATGTATGCATGTGTGTGTGTGTATATATGTGTATGTATGTATGTGTATGTTTGTATGTATGTATGTGTGTGTATGTATATGTGTATGTATGTATGTATGTGTAATGTGTATGTATGAAGGTATGCATGTGTGTGTGCGTGCGTGTGTGTATGTGTGTGAAAGAATCGTAAATAATTCAGCTATTGATGAAGTTGTCATCACTT